AACACCCACTAAACATTCAATTAACACTGGCATAGAAATGTGTTAAAGGGATATTAAGATTGTTTTTAATGTTATAACATTGCTGTCTGCACTATGCAAAAATATATAAAATGCTTTTAATGCTTTTTCAACAGGGAAGAAACAAAAAATGGAAACATAAATGAGTAGTCTCTCTGACATTTGCATGCCATTCAGTTTTGATTAGTTCTTTCTAAATTTAGCTCATTGGCAGGTGCACATCTTTTCCTGGCTTTGCTGGCATATCATGTTGGTTCTACAACAGTAATTTAGTTTTGGAATCACCTGTTTAATTCCTGGCCTGACCTCATTGCAATGACAAATCACACCTTCTGTGTGAAGGTTTAGAATCAACATTCAACTTGGACTTTTAAAATTCTGCTCTTGAAGAGTCTACACAGTTGATTTCTTTTGGTATCTAATGGTGTCAGAGACTATGTTTCTAGAGGCATGATTACAGGCTTGATTCAGCTTGTTATCATATCACTTCAGAATGCTGTAAGCAACACTGCTAACAAGGGTTGAAGCTGAAGTACTAATTTTACCCACAGCAGAAACTTCTTATAAAGCGAAATATAAGTTATTTGATTGCAAAATGTAAGTTATTTAAAAGCAAAAGATAAGTTAAAGTAATTTAACCTCTTAGAAAGTATCAGCAAAATGACATTTCTTAAATAAAATAAATCAGAAAGAAAAAATTACACTATGCCCTGCTTCTTCCCACCCATTAGTGACAGACCATGTTTACCTTCACAGCGCTCTTCAACCTCATACCAGTGGGACTGCGTGTTGTTGCCATCCAGGGTGTGAAAACAGGCTTGTATATAGCCATGAATGGAGAAGGTTACCTCTACCCATCAGTAAGTAATATGCCAAAGATCTTGGCCATTCATTCAATGCATGTCAAATAACAATGGCAGCAACAACAAAAAGAAAGTTCTGTGTCTATTGATTCTGCCAGTTTTTGCCTTACTATTTGATCTTTGAGAGAATGCTGTAGAAACTGTTTCATCAATGTTTAATAATATGAGTATATCTAAAGGAAGCGTAATACTGTGTCTTAAATAGGGCTTTTAGTGGATTAAAAAAAGAACAACCTAGTTTACACGTGAATCTAATCTTTTATATTTCTAGTTAGAAATGCACTTCTCTTAGAGTTTCTCCTAAAACTCTTTTTTTAAAGAAATAATATGAATTCTAAAAAAAGAAAAGAAAGCAGTGTATTTTTTAACATGAGTTTAAATTATATATTTTACTGAGAAATAACTACTTGTAATATTGAAATGTGTATTTTTTGTAAGTCTCTGTGTTTTGTGGTAATATTTATTGGAAGCTGAGCTCTTTTCAAGCCATATGGCCTCTTCTGAAATATTTTTTATTTACAACTAATTTGCACTCAGATGTGCCGCATTCATGCATGTAATGTAGTTAGAATTTATTTCTGCCACAGGTTTAAGCAATAAAAATTTAGGTAAGGGTGCTTCTTTCCATTATGCCTCGAGCAAAAATTGATAGTCTTAAATGCATTAAAATATGCTCTTACATGTCATTCTCATGTATATTCTTTAAAACTCTGTCATTGTTAAATATTACCACCAACAAAAGAAATCTATAGGTAAACATACACACATATTTTGTGTGTGTGTGTGTGTGTGTTGGTATGTGGTTGTGTGTATCTTAAACAGAAACATTCCCCAGGGGACCTCCCAGAAAATGTAATCTATTTACTTCGGTGAAATTGGGAAATCCTGTCACAGGGAAGTGAGATCTGAGCTGTGGATACCCTTCATGGTGAGCTCAAAAATGCTGGCTGTTTTTACTCTTGAGCCTTAAATCTGAGCTCCCTGAAGGGTGTTCCCACACACAGAACTGGGTCCCACATTATGCAAATTGTGTTCTCTAGAACAAGATGAATATGCAGCAGATTGCCAGCAAGATCAAGTTAGAATTCCCCATGCTCCCTTTAGAAAAAACATTAAATACAAAAAGGATCACTTTCTAGAGATGCCTTATTTTCAGATACAACTCAATCTTGTTGATTGGAAATTTGCTGTTATATTTGTTTCTTTATTTTCCTCCCAAGTCATCTTTCAGGGGCCTGAACATCATTAGATGCAGTGTCTGCTGTAGCTTCTAGTTCTGTCTTTCTGTTAATAATTGTATCGCATTGCCGTACTCTGATACATATGTTGATGATAGGAAATTGAAATGTTTATCTTTGTGCTGCTAAGGGAGTTGCTTTTTATTTTTGTTTTGGTCATAAGGTCATAAATGTATGCTATTCTTTTTTAAAGATAGGATATATCATTTTGAGTATGTGTCTTAGCCTAAAATAAAAGTACTGATTATGCTTGGTGCTAAGCCGCAGGAATAGAAACAAGAAATGCATTAACTGCCAAGTCCAGTCCCCTGCATTTTAAATAGTTTCCGTGTGTAGGAATCAGATCTCATGAAGGTCACTATGGGAGATAGCATTTGCCCAGGGTGAGTCCCGGCAACAATTTCAGGCTTATTACCGGATGCATCGTTCTCTCCTCTCCCTCATTCCTTCTGGTTCTCCAGTGGCTTGGCTTCCAAGCCTTCCCTTTGGTGGCTTTATTCTCCAGCTTACAGATGTTGGTTTTCTTCTCTTCTCATCCTTGACTCTTTGTTCTGACTCAAAGTCTGGTAAGAGACACAGTTCTCTCAGCCCCTACCCTAAGAGATCTCCTCTGCCAAGGCCAGACCCCTGTACTCCTAGTCATCTTTGGGAAGAGAGCTTAGATAAAAACCAAAAGCAATTACAACTCTGTATTAATACTTTCTAAGTAAAGTGCTCTGTTTATTTCAGCGTAAGAAAAAAGTGAACGTCAAATATTTCAGCATAAATGTTTATCTGCAAGCATTTATTTAATAATTTGTTACTGAGAGCCTACTAAAATAAAAATATAGACTACAATATAACAATTTATTGTCCTATATAATACTAGTTCTACCTATAACAGTAGTGCTGATAATTTGTTCAGTTCACCCAGCCTAGCACTGATCTAAGCACTTTACCTGTATTAGCTCATTTAATTCTCCCAATAACATTTTATAAACAAATATTATTAAAATGAGGACACTGATATACAGAGAGTTTAAGAATTTGCCCAAAGACATTCAGGTAGTAGATAGAAAAGGTAAGATTTGAGCATAGTTAGTATGATTCATTAGCTTACATTTTTAACTGTTGTATTATACTGCTTTCATGTGCCAGATATTTTTTCATAATATGGTCTGACACCTTTTCTAACAAGAAGTTACAAACACATTATGATGTAATGAAAATCTTTAGGGAATTGTTACCTAGGGAATAAACTGTATTTCAATGAAATTATTGAGAAGTATAATTTCAAACATAATCTGTTTCCTTTAAATATTTTTAAGTAAAAATTAAAATTTTAGAAAATTACATTTGTCAAGGAAAAATTTGATATTATATAAGGGATAGTAAACATTTTTGATCTTTATTGCATTTCACATTTGAGCTTTAAGTGTTTTTTGTTTGTTTGTTTTTTGAGATGGAGTCTTTCTCCGTTGCTGGTTTGGAGTGTGGTCTTGGCTTACTGCAACCTCCACCACCCAGGTTCAAGCGATCCTCCTGCCTCAGCTTCCCGAGTAGCTAGGTGGCACCCACCACCACACATGACTAATTTTTGTATTTTTAGTAGAGACGGGGTTTCGCTATGTTGGCCAGGCTGGTCTCGAACTCCTGACCTTGTGATCCACCTGCCTCGGCCTCTCAAAGTGCTGGGATTACAGGCATGAGCCACCGTGCCCGGCCTCAGCTTTAAGTTTTTTTTTTTTTTTTTTT